AGACATCAGTGCTTGCAAAGAGAACCGTAGTCCTAACCCCTCACGTCGTCGCACTTTTTCTCATCATTTTCGGGGGCTGCTGTTCTGAGACTTTGAGACATGGCACCTTGCCTGTTGCTTGGTAACCCTAGACCCTCAATCATACACACAAAGCCCACAATCCTTAGCATGGAGGCCATGTCCCTCCGCTTGTTGCAGAAGGCGGGGATCTCAGAGAGCTGGAGTTCCCCCACACTCTTCAGCATCCTCAAGTGAATTCGCATTGTCAATCTGTTGTTTGCGGATTTGCAAAGTATATTATACCGTATCTACCATATTATATTTCTTTCCTACATTATGTTTTTTTTAATAGTATATTCTATTATCCTATAAGTTGTTGCCAGGCTCTAGCCGCTTGTGATTCTTTGCAAGCTGAGGCAACAACCGATGCCCAGAGCCCGGCAACTGCATGGCTGCGTCTAGATGGGTGGCTGCCATGATTGTGAACCTTGCGTAGTCTTGTGAACTCCTGCTAGGGGGGTTACATAGGGGATCATACAGGGGACTACTATAGGGGTTCTGAAGGGGATACGAGGAGTTTAGTCTCTGGCCCACATGCGCACATGACTACCAGATCCTAAAATTGGCAGCCGCCTGGAGGGCTATGTCTCAAACATTAAGGGGCCGCGCACACACAAAATTGCTTTTCGCAGAGAGCCTTTGTTGAATTAAGCAGAAAGAGTTTGTTGGGACCACAGTGTTTCAGCCTAGCCAGGTCCCCTGCACTCGAGACTCCAATCCAGAAAGCCCGAACCCTAAACCCGAAACCCTGAGCATCAAGCCCTAAGCCCTAAACCCCAACATCAACCCTTAAATCTCAAGCCCCAAACCTGAATCCCAAACCCTGAATGCTCTTTGGAAGCTTTGAGGCCGGTGGCCGTGGAAAAGGCAAAGGACGAGGTGTCGGTGATGATTGAAGCTTCGTGTCTAGGGTTTGGGATTGTGGGGATTCCCAAAATCAGGGATACCACTTTGAGTCCCAACAACAAGGCCTAAGGATTATAGTATTTGGGGGTCTATATTGGGGTCCCCTTCTATAGGGAAACTGCCATTTAGAGTTTACGGCTTAGGATTTAAGGATTTGATCAGGGATTCTGAGTTTAGTGTCTGGGATTTCGGCTTCGGAGTTCAAGGCTTGAGGTTTATAGGTGGACTTTCTTATTTCGTCTCCCCGTTCTGTCCGAGGGCCATTCGCAAATTCATGTGTCCAAGAACTTTGTATGGGCACATCTATGCTGAAGTGGAAGCTTCTCAAGACGAGCCCAAGGAATCTTCTCACCCCATAATTCTTTCGGGTCCAGGTGGGTCCCGGATTTGAGACCCTTGAAAGGAACCATTGGGTTTAAGGTTTAGGATAACCTGCCGGATATCTTTAGGTGCCCATGTCTTCATTTGCTTCTGACTTCACCCTTAGCCACTAAACTCTAGACCCTTAAGCAATGTCGAGGCGTCAAGCGTGGGACCCCCATGAGCCTTCAGAGCTTCCACGAGCATCCTGGCTGCACAGGGAATGAGAAGTTGGGTCAGGCTTGAAACTATTTGGGTGGTTGTCAAAATTATGGCCCCTTTTTGGGTACCCTAAACATTAGGTGCCGTATTATAATAGGGATCCAAAAAGGGACCGTCATTGTGACAACCATCCATTTTGCAGTCTTACATCCATTTTGTCCCCTTATAGCCCCCACATCTGAATTTTGGCATCCTACAATTTATCCTCCTGGCTTCTACATCTTCCTCGAATTGTGGGTATCAAGCTTTTGGTTGTTGTCCAGCCTCCATGCTTGGCGCAGGATGCAAGAAGCAGCCGGTTTACTGGCTGGTTCATAGTAGAGAATAAGGGAATGTATTCTATGGGGATTATATTCCCTTCTTCCCTACTAAGAACCAGTAAGTTTGGGATCTACTGTTTAGGTTTTAGGGCTTTCAAGTTCAGGGTTTCGGGTGCAGGGCCAGCGGCTTAGAGCTTTGGTTTTAGGGTGTTTCCCAACCCTCGTCTCTTTGAGGGCTGCCTACAACTCACACGCAAGTCTGGGAGGAGTTTTTGGGGACCGGGGTCCCTCTTGGGTGGTCGCAATCTGGGCCTATGTAACGTATGTAACGTTGAGAAGCATCCGGACGAGTTGCAATAGCTTACCAAAATTTGACTCAGTGATCTCAGTGCTTGGGGTTGTACATCCAGGGAGACCCTACTTTTGAGAAACACCCATATGCGCCCCAACATACTCTTGCTACCTTCAACTTGCTACAGATGATTTTTAGGCCCCTAAACCCTAAGCATCCCTAAAGCCAAAATCGTCAAGCCTAAACGGTAGACTCGCAACAGGCAAACTTCGAGCACCAACAGTGCCGCTTCGAGTGCCAGACCTTCTGCGTGGTCCAAAGGCTGTAGAGAAAGCCATGGAAGACGTAGCCAAAGTGAGGTTCCCAACATATTGCCCCCCAAATGTGCAATTATGAAGTGCATACATATATAGTTTTATGTATATTCATCTACATAAAAAGATGAAAACAACATGTTTATTTATGCATATGGTATGTCGTGGGTACATACATACGGATCCTGGTTTTGAAGCCCTTCCATGCAGGCACTTCTCGCCAAGCAGCCGATCCGGCAGAGGACTGGCCCCAAGAATTCAATGGTTTAGGGCTTAGGGTTGGGGTCTTAGAGGAGTTCCGGGTTTGGGGTGTAGGGTTGGAGGTTTAGAGTTTCAGATCCTTCTGAAGTCAGCAAGATTTGGGGTGCCATCTTTTATGTAGTGGCTTGGGGCCGGCCTGGATACAGCTTGTACTTGCAGTCTTGCGAAGCCCTCCTGCACTATAGCATTCCGGACCATCTCATAGGCTCCTGCGACCACCTCCCCTAATCATAAACCCCCTACCACACCCAATTAGCCACTACACCCAATGTTTTTAAACACAAGCCATTAAAAAGAGTTGGGAATATCCCTTGCTAGGGAGGTAGGGAGGGCTGCTATTTTGGGGGGCCTATGCCTAAGGTCCCTGGGATACCCTTATTTCCAGACACCCCAAACCCTAAACCCTGAAAGCGACACCCCAAGCTCCAACAACTGCTACCCCGAACCCTGAATTATCCGATGCAATGCTTTTAACGGGACCCAAGGTCTCTGCTCGCAGCCCCAAACCCGCGAAAACCCTAGAAACTCTGAACGGAAACCCCTGGACACCCTAAACCATAGAACCCTGAACCCTAGAAACCTTAAACCTTATAACACGTAAAGCCGCTAGAAATTCTGGAACCCCCGTATCATCTTCACTTCATGTTCCATTGTATTTTCCATTTTGATCCTCCAATTTTTAGGGTAATATCCCCAAACCCAAAACCCTAAATAGTAGCGTCCATTTTCTTCTCCAATACCCTTATATAACCCTAAATACTCCCTATATAATTCCTGTATATCCCTATGCCATATTATCATCACAGAAAATCCCCTGAAGTCTCATGTGAGGCAAGAGATGCACGGACAGCGCGTCTGGACCTTGGCATCCCCGACTCCTGCGTGAACAGGGTTTAGGTTTAGATTCATTAAAAGCTAGGATTTAGGGCTTAGGGTTTAGGATTTAGGATTTAAGGTTTAGAGATTTGGAAGTGCTACGGCTTAGTAGCGGCTTAAGCAGCCACTTTGATTGGGGGCAACCCATATCAGGCCAGTCGCTGATGATAAGCGGAGCATAAGTAAGACTGAGTCCATGAAGGTTTCCGAGTACCAGCCTGAACGATAGCTGCACCTTCTCTATGGTTGCAGCAAAAAGGACAGTGACAGTTAAACTAAAACCTTACCACACGTAACAACCTCGTGATGAAGATTCGATGAAGCCTGTTCCCAAAGGCTTACTGTTTGCGGATCTTACACGATGCAGACACCGACATTTAGTTCTGTGTGTGCATATATAGATATACCAATATGCGCTATAGTCTAAACTCAAAGGGGTTATATAACTTATATAGAGGATTATATGGGGGTCTACTATAGGGGTTATTAAGGGAGATACTAGGAGTTTAGACTACAGCTCATATGACATATCAGGAAACATTGATTGAGCCAGGTCCAGCTGCATCAGAGTCCGCATGGGCCAAAGGCGCGGTTCTTGGGCAGTTGCTCGAAGTAGGCGAAATTTGGGGACACTAGGGATCTATGGGGATGATGATTTATGGGTTGGGTACTGCCCCCACTCAGTAACAGTTGGAGAATAAATATAATATGCATATATATAGCCCCTAAGAGGACCCCTAATATAGACTGTTACTGGGTGGGGGCAGTACCCAAATTATGGGGTTCCTGTCACGCATTAGATAGAGGTTCCTGTGTGGACCATCTTCAGGCATTCTGAGAAACACCTCTCTGTATCTGTAGCCGCTGAGGAAGAGCCTGCAGCCCTGTGATGAGCGGAGTATACTGTTGATTATGTTTCGAACTATGAGATTCTTTCAGATGATAGTTTGCCAAGTAGACCCCGATATAGACCCCCAAAGACTATACGTAGTCCGTATTATGAAAATACCCAAGAAGATATCCCTACTTTCGGGAAACTCCCAAATCTGCATTGAGGATCAAGCCATGATGCTAAACTCCAAGCATAAAGTCCCCAGCTTGATTCCAAAGTTGTGAGCTCTGGTTTAGGGTTTGAGGTTTAGGGTTTAGGGTGTGCAGTCAGTATGACGGTAGCCCTCCAGCTGCGCGACAGTTGAACTTGCGTGAGGCAGTATCACAATTGATGCTACCAAGGAAATGTGTAAGTTCAAGGATGGACATCGGGCTCTCCGTTTTAACTTGATATGGTTTTGTTCAGATTCCCACACAAAAACCATTGAAAGCAACATTGACGGTAGCCTAGGTAGAGGCGCACCAAATGTTTAGCCAAGCCAGAACCCAAAGCCCTTTGCAGGTGCTAGCCTAGACGCAGGACATGTAGGTAGTGCGCCTATCTAGGTCCAAGATGCGATGTGTCAACGTGCCCTGTGCCATCTCATCATTTTGGGCATGCTTTACCATTGGCAAGCTGACGTCCTGCCTACAAGGCTCTTTGCTTGCTCCGCGTCACGGAGAAAGAAAGTGATCACCCCGCAACGAGATGGACTTTCCGAACTTCAGCTGGAAACCTTCCAGACTGAACGATGCTTTGGCATTGCTGTGGACACGAATCTGGACGCATGCCGAGCGCACGTACTTCTTTTAGCGAGTTGCGACGAGGTGTATAAGTTTCCGCTTGACAGCCTGGACCCCGTACATTGGGACATCCTTGCCAAGGTCCTGAATGACAAGTCCTGTGTTAAGGCGGGAGTCGGCCTTGCACAGAAAATGGAGCCCTTACTCGCGACGTTCCCAAACATTTGCTTCGAGGCATGGGTGGATCTCGCAGAATATCTGTGGGTCAACTCTGTCACCACGGGGCGACTGAGCCTGGATTCGATGTGTCGCTGGCTGCTGCGGCGGCCCCCTGACCTGGGCGCGGGCCTAGAAGCCCCGGACTGCAGGAAGCTATGGCCACGGGTGAAGGGACTGGTGTGTTTGCGTCAGATCCAGGATGGACTCGGCCGTGTAGACTGAAGGAGGAGTCCACGTTCGTCACATGACCAGTACGCAAGGAAGAAGACCTTCCGGCATGTGATGTGAGGGTTCTTGATGCTTCCCCAACATTACCTGACGCTTGAAACTCAATGTCAAGTTGTGTATCGTTTCCGCTGCTGCGAACAGGAGCCTAACTTGCCTAACCCCACCTTGAGCAAGTACGATGGGGTTAGCTCGTACGCAACCGGTTAGGGTGTATCGAGAGATGGTACAAAGATTCCTGGTTATACCGGCAGTCCAGTTCCATCCGATTTTAAAAATAATGTAGGGATTGCAGGGATCTAGCAGGAATTACGTGTCTAGGGCCTTCAACAAGTGAAACACTGAAATACTGAAGCCAAATGTGATTGCTACAGCCTGAACCATATGAATCTTGAAGTTATCCATGAGCCCCCGACGCTGAAACTGATGCGCACCCACCCCACCTCCGAAAAAAACATGCAAAGATATTTTTCTTTTCTTGGCGAGCCCCAAACGGGAGTTCTTGCATAAGTGTTCCTGAGCGCTTCAAAAGATGTCACATATGAACCCTGGCCAAAACCATCTATGGCACCAGGAATGCTATGCATACCGTAGGGTTCAGAAGGAATCCTTCTAAGCCACAAACTTGAAACCCTATTTTTCCAACACACCCAATCCCTGACTCTAAGACAACAGCCTGAAACCGTCAAACTTCAATACTGCAACCCGAATACCAACTTTAAGCCCAGAGCCTGTAATCGTAAGCCGTAACCCCTAAGGCAAAGGAGGCCCCTGATACTGCAAAGAGTCTTGTTTGAGGTCCGCCCAGCTCTGCCGTGGAGAACTTGTGGAGCGATGCACCAGCAGTGGAGGCGGATGAGGCAGGTTTAGGGTTTAGGGTTTAGGGTAGCCTCCAGAAAGGGCTTGGGCTTCAGGAGTCTCAGGGGTTTACAGCTTGTGAGGATTTTTCAAGGGCTAAGGGCTAGGGTGCAGGGTTGTTGGGTTCCGAGTTGGGGGCTTATCTTTTTGCTAATTTCTTTTCAATGTTGCGGGCATCGTATGCGGGACACTGGAAGTCAGAACAGGAGAGTCAAGCGAGGAGGGGATTCTGTGCTGAGTATTATTGCTATATATTCATATGTGTATTATTCTCATTCCTATTAGTATTAGCTGTTATGAGTATTGTCATTATTATTGTTGGGATGTCAGGGTTTGGGGTTCCAGATGCATTATCAGCATGGGGAGATGCGGTGGAACCCAGCACAAAACATGATTTCAGAAGACTGTGCCGGGATGCTCATAGAATGCAGAAGTGCCTATTTCCAATGCATCTGCTTGTTCTTAAGAAGCCTATCTTACAGTGGTGTGGATCGTTCTTACGAAGCCTATGTTACAGTGGTGCGTATAGCTTAAAGCCAGAACACATTTGCTTGCGTAAACTCCCAAGTTACCATGTGGAGTCTGTAAATATTGATCTCTTTCTTTCTCTAACACACAGTCCTTGTATGCGGTGCATGCGGGCGTGCTTCATGTACACGCAGACGATTGCCGGAACACGCAGCTTTCTGCTGCTGGGTATGCTAAAATCTGAAAATCCCCTTCAGTGTTCTATATACGGGTTAATTGTATTGCGGCGCCTAATATTTAGGAGTACCAAAATGGGACCATCATTTTGGGAACTACCCCATATGGTACTTGGCTACTGGCTTGAGCCGCTAAGTGAGGATGTCCTGCATACTCGTGGAGAGTTCAGCAGAAGGTCCAGTCAGCAAAGTAGAGGCGACATGCGAATTTTTGCAAACATGAACGGGGCAGCTTTGGATTCAAGAACAGATAGCCGCGAGTGCAGGACGACTGCTTGTCAAAAGCCCAACTGAAAGGACATGATTGCAAGAACCATCTGTGGATTCCGAAATTTTATTCTGCCTCCAATCAAAAGCCTCATGTAAGATTCACTTGGAGAAGCAGCTGACCGATCTGTCAACAAGCATCAAGAATGAAGCCAGCCCGAATCATAAGTCCAAATAGAAGCCACGTATTCCTCTAATCATGCTGTAGTATCTCCACATATCCCTAACGTCCGGGCCAGCGCGCCATTTTGACGAACATGACTAACCCGCCGCTTTGTGTCAGGACGCCTGGCAGGCCAGCGCTGAGGTCGTGGAGACCATTGCAGACGACTGGGGTGGCCATCCCAGTGAAGCTAATAATGACAGTAGAGGTAGTAATAAAGATTAGAGTAGTAATGGTAGTGATAGTAGTAATTGTAGTAATAGCAGTAATGGGAGTCATAGTAGTGATAGCAGTCATAGTAGTACTAGCAGTACTAGTAGGAATAGTAGGAATCGTAGGAATAGTAGTAGAAGTAGTAATAGTAGTACTAGTAGTAGTATCCATAGGTAATAAGTTATCATGGCCAACCCCTGGCATAATAGCAGGTAGGCGCCACAGCCGAAATCAAAGCCCTGGAATCTACCGGAAAAGTACACTTCAACGCTTTCCACTGCTTCGCACTTGAAGTTGATAGATGGGCCCCCAACATGAATGGAGTGTGCCCTGCTAGGCACAGACACCACGGCAGACGGCAACTGGGCATTGTGAGTTGGAACCATTTTGGGGGTCCATATAATAAGGATTATAGTATTCTGGGGTCTGTATTGGGGTCCCCCTATTTAGGGTTTTCTACCATTTGTTCTTCGCAGAATAGATCATGCTTGCAGGGAGATGACGTGGGTGTTGATTGAGGATGGTCTAGCAAACATGTTGAGAAACTCCCCTGCAAGTACGTGGTGGAGTTTACGCGGCAATAGGGATTATGTGGGGACTACTCTGAAGGACCCTGGAGTTACAATGGGTTAGCTAACTTACACATAATGGGCTATAATCGTTTTAAAAAAGGGCTTGCCAGGGGGTTATACTAATATGAGCCATAGTCTAAACTCCTAGTATCCCCTTCATGTCCCTCTAGTAGTCCCCGGTATCATCCCTTAAAACACCTTTAAGGAGTTTGGACTAAAGCTCATATGTTACCTAACTCCAGGGTCCTTGAAACTAGATGGCCTTTGGAGACGTCACCGCAGGCCCCACTGAAAACAGCCTTGCCGAGAGCCCTACCCGCTTCGAGGCACTGCGTGGCATTTTGAGATGCTTTGAAGTTCAGGGTACTCATCACTATCATTGTTACGATTACTACACTATTAATACTATTACTACTATTAGTATTACAGTTATGAATATTACTATATACTTGTTACCCATTTCTACTTGTAGTCAAAACCCAGTTACAAGCCCCCGTAGTCCCCTAATCCGGCTGTAGCCTGATTAGAACCACGGTGATAATTGGGTTATGCGTAGCCTGAACTTCCAGGTAGGGTATATCCGAGTTCTGGAGGAGATCAATCATGATTTAGGAAGTGTTAGGAAGTAGGATGTCTACTGTAGCTGCGTGACAAGAAAAGCAGCTGCTGTGGAGTCTTTGTGAGCGAATCATGGGTATCCTCTAGAGCAGCCCTTGCGCGTTCTTGGTGATTTCCAACCAGTAGGGGGCCAGAAGCAACGCAGAAGGCTTTTTAGTGTGTTTCCCGTTCCATGTGTCTTTGAAAGCACCAGTCGTCGTTACCCCAAAGCTAGAATTTTCCCCGCTAAAGCCGCGAGAAAGCTGACCCCGCAGGATGGCTTGCCTAGCATTTCTATTGGGGTAATATAGGGAATATGGGAAAGAAAATGGAAACTACTGTAGTATATTGGGGGTTTAGGGTGTAGGGTTTAGGGTTTGTAGTATATTGGGTTAATATTAGGGGTCATATAGGGATAATGGAAAAGAAAATGGAGACTACTATAGTGGGGTTATATAGAGGTTATATAGGGGAATTATATTTTTATCCCTACACAATTGCTGTAAAGCCCTGGCTGGTCCGCACAGATTTGTAATTCTGAGAATTAAGCTCCTAAAACAAGATTCCGAAACATTCTAGAAGGGACGCATGAGCTGAGGAAACACGCCAAAGACAGAGCCCAAACCATGCACACTGCAGAATCTCTTTACAGCCCCCAATCTGAACCGGCCCTCATTTTGAGAAATCTTCACGTGCTTTACTCGGAAGGCGCAGAACAACGACATGCCAGAAGAATCGCATGAGTCGTCTATCTTCCCCCCTGAATCTTCACAGCGTGCACATACTACTCCAAGCTCTGAACTCTAATACTTGAGAAAGGCTTGCAATCCTGAATAGCAAGCCTTTGCCCAACCCCAAACCCTACATCCTGAACCCTGAACTCTACTTGGTAGTTTCCATAATCGGGGACCCCAACAAAGACCCCCAAATGCTATACTGACTAGCAACTCCCCAGTTGCCGCAAACTTCCACCTTCTCAACCTTGGGGAGGCAAGTCAGGAAGCACACTGTGAGACCGCCGAAGCAGAAGAGCAGCGGGTGGAGGAACAAGAAGAAGTGGAGCAGCCTGCAGAGGACACTGCTTCATGAAACAGGGCTTGGGATCTTAGCGTTTAGGGTATAGAGGGGTCTGGGTTTGGGGGCTAGCTTGGGGCGATCCCCGGCTATTCAGGGGTTAGTTGCCTATGAAAGCCGCCCAAGCATAGTCAGAATTCCTCCGTTTGCTGGCTCATCAGGAAGCGGAGGCGGAGGCAGAGGCGGAAAGCTTGAGCAAAGACGTGGCCTTGTGGTTGAACCACCTCAACCTGGCAGACCACGCGCAGGTCCCTTGTTGATTCAAGCACATGATGGCTTGATGGCGCAGATGGCATTTTCTGTTCTTCTACGGCCGGTGCTGCCACTTCTGACGCTTCTGCTCTTGCTCCTCGTGCTGCTCCTCCTCTGCGGCTGCTGCTACTATTACGATGACAACTACTTTAGAATCAAGGGGCCCTGTTGCGAGTCCCCATAGCAAGGATGTAGGTATTTTGAGGTACATGCGGAGGACCCTTCTTTGGGGACATGCCTTTAAGGTAGCAGCACCCTGGCCCTCAGGCGGTTCTCTCCTGGTGCGAAGAGATGGGA